TCAATGGAAACGTCAGCTCAACTCCTATCATTGTGGGAAAATTCTACTACCAGTCCTTCATCACCTTAGAGGGACAAGTTGTTGAAGTTTTACCACAATACAATAGGTAGGCCTTATGTTTCTGATGAATTTTACATGGCCTTTGGAGACCTGCCGATGCATTCAGAAGAGATTATCTCAACACAAAACCTCTTGTAAAATTCTATAAGTCCCAAAATCTGAGTTCGTTGAATACATGGCTAATACAGGATTGGTAGAAAAAGCCACGTTTTGCTGGTTACGGGGATTTCACATTAAAGCGTAAGAGTAGGGAGTCTACTGAAAGTAAAAAAATAAAAAAACTTCTAAATAAGAAGAATGAGTGTAGCAAACTAAGTGTGAAGCATGCATGGATGTTGGATAGGCGTAATAATAGGAGGAGAGAGGGTGAGCAAGAAGTACGGTTAAGCAAAAGGAGACATGAATATTATCAAGGCTGATTAGGGCTACCACATCTTTTTGACATGAAAGTTAACTAGCACACACAAAAGTGAGTAAGTATTAGAGAATGGTGTGCTAATTTATTTATGAAAGAAAACAGCCGCTACCTCATCCACTTCGTGCTCGTGAATTAAATTCCCTTATTTGCAAGCCATCCAAATAATGGGATGCTTCATTAAGACCGCAAGGATGGCAATAAAATGGGGCTAGGATTGCAACCATCCACCTCATCTTTTGCTTTAGCATATTTGTTGTACTATTTCGTATAGTATGGATTGTTGCTCTGATGAAGCCTGTCACAACACAGACGAAAGCTTAGAACAGGTTCATTGGAATCGCGGGAAGATGAGCCGATGACTTCTTTACGCATTCCAACAGTCTCCACTCTGCGGCAACCCTTCTTTGGTTTCCAGAGGCATCATTTCACGAATTAATTCCAACCAGCTTTGTTTTCAAAATGGAAAGTCATGTCAAGAGTTATTTTGTCTTCAAGGCGTATGAATCTCTCACAAACTTAACATCCCATAGATAAATGTGTCGGTGGACCTGTTGTAAATTCGAACATATATAAAATCATTAAAGTTTATTATACCTCATTGTTAATATTTTTAGCATGTGGTAGATATGAAGAGCAAGATTTTGTGGGCTTCTGTTTGGTCGCAGTCTCCTTTAGCTTTATAGTGTTGGTTCGACCTCGTTTTTGCAACTTGGCCGCAGCGTGGAACGTACCTTGTCCTGTGTCCTCGAACAGAGCATTTGTGATTTCCAACATCGGTAAATAGAATTGGTACATTCCAAAACGCTTCACTGGCATCGTGGTCGGCATCATCAAGGATACTACTTACGGAAGGGACAAGTGAAGGCAATACTCTTGACCAATTTTCTGCTCAACGGCTGCGGCATCACTCCTCGCCCCTATTTTTTGTTCTACCTTCTAGTGCCGCATCTCTTCCTCCCAACCCCACTTCATACGGCCCATCCACTTATTCACACAATTTTGTGCTCTGCTTTCCTACAATGTCGCCCAAAAGAGTGTGATGATACAAATGGGTATAGTAAAGCGTAACCCCCTCCAGCACCGGTACCAGGTGCCGTTAGTAGGGCTCCTGATCTACATTAAGTCAACCCTTTTTTTCCTACCAACTCGTCACTTGGCGACGGGTATCGTCCATCATATGATGGACATCATCAGAGCTGGATTTCATTCTTGTAAGAGTCTTATGTTAACACTAGGCCAAGAATACTATCCGGCTCTATCTTACTTCTCATTTAGACTCAATCGAGCAAAATAACAGGACCAGTATAAAAGAAAATTAACTAAACCACTCTATATCGATCTATCTAGGTTTTTTATTTTCTTTTGGCTTAATTGAATCTATATAAGAAGTAAGATAGAGCCGGATAGTGTTCTTGCTTTAGTTTTAACGTGAAACCTTTATAAGAATGACACCCAGCTCTGAGGATGTCCATCGAATGATGGACGAATGTTTAGCAGGTTTTCACCCAAAATGAAGGAGAAGTCTCGTGGACTGCGTCAACATGAATATCGTATAAAAGCCAAACGTCTGCAGTACAACGAGATTCATCCGTCCTCATCTGGTGAGATCGACCAACGAATCTGTTCTTCGTGCAATTTCATCCGAAATGAATGTCCCCCTAACACTTTATGCCTGATCAAAGAGGCCAGATGTAGAGTATATATACCGCTTTTAAGAGATTTTCCGGCGAGTTTTCTTGGCTCGTTAGCTTGAATTTGGTTGTGATGAAGATACCTTGCTCTGATGATATTCGTCATATGACGGAAGAAAGCTTAGCACCTTTTTTCCGGAATCGAAGGAGATTATCTCGGAAACTTCGTCTTCATGAATGTTCCAGTAAAGCCAATCGACAGCTGGTCAAAAGGAATCCGCCTTCGTCTTCTTCACAGAACACTTTCACTCTAAATGGAAGTAAGCACAACAATATGGAGAGTAGTCGTTATCTGAATTGGCTGATATAGTAGCTGCTTTAATACGTCTTTGAACGAGGATGTATTTTTATTTTAGTTTCCATGACCGTTTCAGGATGTCAGGGCAGTTGTCGATGAATCAATGATAAAAGGTGACCATTTAGGGCTTCGACTGTGCGTGAAATAGAAGAATATTTTATGCTTCTAATCCTGCCTTGGCTTGGTAGCATTACTTCAGTATGAATTTGATGCCTTTAGAATATAAGTGAGGAAAAGTCTAAAACAATTTTTCATGTGAATTCATCCAATCATGATGATCCAGAGAGCTAGGAATTGCTCTTTGAGCACTACCTTAGTGTTGTTGTCAATGTGAATGGCTTTGATGTGGTCAAATGCTCCATAACGACTACGATGGGCCTAATCCATCAGTCTTTGGAACTTATGTGCAGCGTTCCTGAGTATGAAATGCATTCTGTTTAGTTAAAATAGGCCGAAATAATTGGAGACGGCTGTATTAATTACATGGACCAGATTGACTGAAGGCTGGAAGTAGGCAATCTTGGGGTCAACCTTGGAGAATGTTTGCCTTCCCAAACGATTGAGACTTGTCTGACTCGTGAGAGTATTCAGAAATCTCCTCAAGGTCTCTAGCTACTCCTATCGTTCCTGGTAATCAAGCGAAGTGGAGAATACCATGCAGTTTTAGATGGACGGGCGATAACGGTCTCCAGTGGACCAAATAAAATAGCTTTGTCCGCCTTGAGTTTGTCTGGAGCCAGTTGTCGTGATCCATGAAAGTCTGGACAACCAGTGGTATCCACCACGGATGGCAAAAGGTAGGTCAGCCACCACACAAGCCCTTTGAGCAGTATTTTAAAAGCAAAATCTATTGAGGCGCCAGGCTCCATGCGAATACACACTTGAAAATATATTTGCATACAAGAGCATGGTTAATTGTGTGATTTGTATATTCTCCTATCGCATATTATTTACTATAAAGAAGCAGGTTTATTGTATTACTACGCCAATTTAATCTGAGTAAATTAAGCGCAATTGTCTCTAATTGAATATAATATACTTTAAGCATACTTAAATTGTCGTTTCCAAAAAGATGCTACAAAATATTCTACTTTACTTAGAACTAAAGAAGAGCAAAGCTTTAGTAATAAATTTGCCTTTATTGAAGCCTTTAAGTTGGCTTGGTTTATTCCTGAATAAGTTGTAAGTGACGTTTTAAGACCTATGGCATTTGGTTAACTCACTTCCATGGTGGTAAGATGTAAATAATCCATGCAAGCCACCGCAAATTCCCTTCATACTTAAGCATTTACACCTCTTATAAACGTGTACTCAACAACAAACCAGGTCAGTGAAATGAAGGGTGAAATTAAAGACTTTGTTAAAAATATGTTCTGCCACAGTTGCAGGGATAAGAACCACGAACACCATCAACTGCTGGTCATTTAGCGTTTCACCGACCCTCTGTTGAAATCTACATAAGGAATTGAGAAACAGGACTGATTTTTTAAGCAAGGCTCGTTTTGTAATTCTTTGCAACATTTAATTTTTATATAGAGCTTGAAGCAGTTTTAATCCAATAGTGATCTCATATTAATTGGACTAAAAAGATGAAATTTTAATTTACTCTAAGTTAATGGATTAAATTTTCAACGAATACCACTACAATTTCGCCGCATTATTTTTAACCTTGCTTTCATGAATAGGTAAATTAAGCATGGAGGTAACTAATTGATAGAAAGTTAACACAAGAACCTAGCCAACTTAGGTCATTTAAAGTTACCTATGGAGTAATAGTGTAATTTTTACCGCAAATTTTTCCCACTGAGTTCTCATTCAAGGATTGCCGTAACTTTTGAAACATACAAATATCGAGAATAACTAACGTCGCCGTATGTAATGGCAAAAACATGTTTTGCTCATTGGCAATCCTCCTGCAAGTAAATTCTGTTAAGAAAGCTGATTAAATAGACCTAGGCAATGTCGAAAATGCCATCAAGTCAAATCAAGAAAACCTTTTCGAAAGTAAGGCAAAGTGAAATTAAATGTAACCGCAAGGCCTATTTATAAAATCCTGGTTAAACTCTAATCCCAGGCCTTAAATCACCTTAAGCAAAGAAGGGTGACTAAATTCTTATTCAAGAATTATTGATATTTTCTGGGCGTAGCTATAACGAAATAGAGTGGAAATCATATTTGACGCTTTATGACGACCAAAACTATCTTCCTAGTCTATCTAAATAACCTTGAAAAAGGTCTTGAGTGCCCTTGCGGGTCTCCATTTACAATGAGGGTGTGGCCTTAAAGTAAAGTTAAGCTGAGTCTTGGATAATAGTTACCTATTTATCAACTTTTGACTATATTATCTAAGTATTTCAATCTTCTATTTATTTATTGGAATTTGATGAAAGCCTAACCTTTCATTAATGATGTGCTTTGTCTTTTGGGGCACATATTTAAGGAATTAGCAGAGAAATTATCTGTACTTAAGCTACTTTTGAAATAAGGACATTTTATTTAGTAAAATGTTATCAGACAATTAACTAGAGCCCCGATTTACTATAATTTCCAGGCCGACTAGTTATATATATTTCACGCTTAAGCAGCGTATGCCAGGTTTATGTCCCTATAAAACTATGTATGATTGAGCTGCCTTGTTAAGGCAGCCACTTTTGACTTGATATAATCATTTGCGAGTTAACTTTTTTACTCGAATCGAGAATCCATATTCCGAACAAAATTATGGCTTGTGGATAAAATCAAGAAGTTGCTGAAAAGCTATGATTTTTCAGCCTACAGTGGCCGTTTGACCCGAATCCCATTTTAGGGTCATCATAGAACTGTGTTAAATAAAGCTGCATAGGCATAAAAACACAACTTAAGTGAATTTACATGGTTTACTTTTCCACTTTCATTAACGCTCAAAATTTCTCTTTGTCTTACTATTTACACCTTAACTCATAGACTTGTGAAGAAAAGTCCGCTTTTTCAAGCTTCAACAGACAAGACCGAACTGGTTCATTCGTATTCATTCAAGCGAGCTAGAGGCGCCTCTTCTTCCAAGAACTATCCCTTGGCAAAGGAAACACAGCAGCCCATCCTTACAAACAAGAATGAAAGTAATGGTGTCAGGACCGAATTGCCACATTATCGCCATAACAGCAACTCTGCGCTCACTCTTTTAAAGCTCGTGACGGGGAGCCTCGGCAGAGGGAACAATGATCAGAGAAAAAAGAAGAATCAACAGAAACTTCAAGTTAAGGGAGAAAAGAAAAAAACTGTATGTGCGGAGGATGAGCAGATAGACCGCAAGTCGCCCATTCAAGCCACAACAATGAACAGTAGCTTGATAACCGATAGCATAACCTGGGATGCAGCCAGCTCGGGCCCCTCAAGCAGCATAGCATAGATGCGGCTTCACTTCTATTTAATAATATATCTATTAATATTATGAAAATATTGGTCATCACATTCATGCCTATACCTCAACAAAATTTTGCTGCACTGTCGAGCCAAACATACTTCTGCTTGATACCAAATGTTGCAAAAATATGGAGCTAGTCTACACTACGTTACTCAAAGTCAAGGTAACTCCTTCACAAAACATCAAGAGAGGACAAGCTTAAATCCCTTCGGATATTTTTGTACATAAGGCCTCCAGGCCTATGCCTAACTCCTTTTTTTGTTTACTAGTTCTACATAAATCACAGAACGTTACAAGTTGGGGAAGTTTTGGAGCTTCACGATAGTTTCACAATTATCAAGGATAACAAAAAGAAGTCAAGATCAACAGAAAAAGGCATTCTTTACAAGAAATTATGACAAGATCACATCAATTAACCAAATAAGAGGGAGCTCCTGTTGAAAAACTTCATTTGTTTTAAGGCAAATAAGGGTAAAATGTGTAAAAATCAGAACGTCAGTGTAATCTCATTATGTTTCCACCCACTTACCTGACAGCATCAAACACTTGCCATAAGTGAAACCTTTAGTTTTACTATCGCTGTGCCCCTTTTCGCCTCAGTAAGGAAACACGTAAACATTGTGCCAAAATCACCATCATGCCATTTCAGCGAACCTTCAAGAGGGAGTCAAAGCTGCAAATTGAAAGAGGACATAGACCTCAAAAATTACTGGCTTCCACTCATTTTTGAGGAATTGACATATTAATAAAAACAACACCCTTAATTTTAAAGTATGTAATCGAAAACCTACTTAAGAACGAATAAATAATCGTGCCTAATGTTATATTTGTATTCTATGACACCAGATCTTAAACAAAAAAATAAACTGAAAAATGGCTGTTTTTCATGTGCTATACAACCCTTTTTTGATATGGTTCGTAAGACGATAATCCATCCGCTCACTCGCTTAAGTGAGCCAAAATTACCCAGCCTTATTTATCTACTTGTAAACGAAAAATAAGTAACTCATTATAATGCCATAGCAAATAGAACCACCACAGAATATGATATGGGGAAAAGCCTGGCCTTCCTTGAAAGTCACATCTGTCTCGTGACCCAAGGGCACTCGTGACAATGAGGCGTAGTGGTTAAAATGTAGAGATTAGACACTGCAGTTAGAGTTAGAGTCCCGCCAAGGGTGCTGATTGGACCTAGTTGAGGTCGAAGCTACAGTCCACTCCAGCCAGGATGATAAAACGTTTTGGGAAGCAAGGCTATGTTAGATGCAATGGAAACGTAAAGTCTACCCATATCCTTGTGAAAAAGTTCATCTATCAGTCATACATCACCTTAAACGAAATATGGAGAACACATCTCATATGTATGATTTATGGTAGTCTCGAAAGCCTAATTAAAACAAAAAAATATTAACCGATTGCGGAAGCATAATTTTTCCTAGGGAAAAAGCTACATGATAAATTTTTATTCGCCACATCTGAAGAAATGCGAAAGGTCACAGTTTCTCTCAGAGAATCAGTATTGCCAAGCCTGCACGCGAACCAAAGCTTGTATTTCGCCTCGGTCTAAACTGTAATTCCCAGCATTGCTAAAAACTGACTTGTTGGTCAAAGGAAAAATACACACTTTTGTTGGTACATTGATCAGTTCCTATAAGCCGTTTACTGCTTGCGTGTTTTCTTTACCTCGCTCAAAATCCACAAGGGATAATAGTTAGATCACACAGTCTGAGGTTGGAATAAATACCTATATTAGAAGTTGTCAGTATATCAGGGTTCGACTCCAGCTGATCCATAATAGCTAGAAACCACCTTAAGACAGAAACTCATCAATGATTATTACTTGAGCAATATTCGAGATAATAAAAAACTAATTCCATTTGCTCAATCATACGAAATAAAATGCCCAGACATTGAATAAGTTACGGAAAGAGGTGGTGATTTCAGCAGATCCAATTATATTTGGATGATCATAATCATTATCAGTCTTATATCACTTTCTTCGACCTAGGGTGAATGGAACTCATATTCATTTTCCCTATTGCACTATAGACGATTCTCTCGTCGGTTAAAATTTTTATGATATTTTGACTTTCCGCATTATTTTTTTTCAAAGACTTTATTACTTACTGTTTCTTAGGCTAATTTTTTCTTATGGAATAAGCATTCAGAGAATCTAGTTTCTGTCCTTCGTGTTGTGTCGACAAGTTAATGGCATGTTGGCTTCCCTTTCGTGATCACCTGGTTATTCCATTTTGTTATTATCGGTGGCAATTTTTGACTGAATTTACAGGAGGGCAAATATAAAC